CACTTTTGGAACTTAAAGTGAGATAGGTATACGTTTGACATTTAGCGAAAACGGAGAAAGAGAGTTCTAGTACAGTCTAGTGCAGCAATAAAAAATAGATTTGATGTCTTTATATCGGGTTCAAATCCCGACTGAGATAATATTTTTTACAATAAATCATTTTCAGGGATTTAAAGACGTTCACATTAGCATCAATAACATTAAATTGCTTGTCAATTTAATTTGCGATATTACTACTCCAACTTCAGTTTAGAGTTGTTTTGAAGATCAAACAATCATTCTTCATTGTGGAGACATATAATCGGCGCACAATTTGCTTGAACTGCAAATTGTATAAATTCACAAGAAATATTATTGGGCACAAAGAACCGCTTGGTCAAATATGGAGTTTCCCACTCATGAGTATTTAATTTCAATCGGTTTTCACTCAATATTAAATATCTTCATAATTATACTCAAATTTTTTCTGGCCAGGACTTGTACTTCTGTTATTTGCTACAGGATTTTATATTTTTCTCTCATGTTTCCTTTTTTGTAATTTTGAACATTGTTTAAATCTAATTGTCAGTGCATGCAATAAAGTTATTATTATTATTATTATTATATTTCTCCTCATGTTGAACTATTAAATTCCCTTTTCACAACCGCTCGACGCATTAACGGAGTCGGGGCCAAGTGTTAACTCGGAAGTCTCTTTTCGTACCAACCTAATCCTCGGAAATTATCACTTTCGGAGGTCTGCTAAAAAGCGCGGATGCACTTCTCTCCGCACAGCTTGCATTCGCGCGAATGAATTCCACCTCGCGGATAACGCCTGTCCCCGAAACAATTTACTTCCGCGACCGTAATTACTTTGTCCTTTGGAACATGTAAAGGCTTCAATTCATACCTCCGATACGTTCTCGCATGGATTTTAATAATCGCTTTGCTTTTACCTCTCAATTCTTTTGTCGTGGGAGTAGAACAGCCGAAAAACGCCGAATTTCCGCCGAAACTCGTTTTATCGAGTTCTCTTTCGGAAGGCTGCGGTCGTTTTTCACCGCAAACTTTATCCCGTAATTCTTCTGATTACACAGAAAATGACTGGTAATAGCCAACCGTTGTGGAATAGACTAGCAACAGGTACAAGGATTTGTACCATCCGGCGTCAATACGCCGACCCATTTCCGTTCCCGAGTCATCAATAGTGATTTCTCGGCAGAAAAGGTATTGACTAGCATTATTGTGTATTATTAGATTAACTAATCAAGGTAAATATGCATTGTTAATAATATTTAGAGTTGTATCACTTTCGACATGAATTATTAATTTGTTATCATTTTGTAGAATACAAAAATTATCATAATAAAAAAAATGATTTTTTAAAGGTTGTGAAACAAAAATGACAAAAGTGACATTTTGATTATGTTTTAGTATTTTGACACTATATTACTATAATTACACTATAATTATTATAATTAATATACAAAAATCGATAACGATTATAGTCAGAGTCATCTGCAGACATATCGTTCCTTCAAAAGTGACACAAAAGAATTTAGTTTAAAAAAAAAAACTATTTTTCTACTTGACAGAAAAAATTATTAACTAATCAAACATTGACAGAAAGAATATACTTTAAAAAACATAATATTTTTGTCACTTTCGTTTTACAGCTTTTAAAAAGACCACTTTTTTAGTTATGACAATTTTGATACAAAATTATAATAAACTTGGAATAATTTATTAAAAAATGACATATACTTAATTCAAAACATTACCAACAGTTTATACTTATATTAATCAAACTAAAATGACTAAATTCAAAATAAAATAATTTCTTCTTTAAACTTCGATCATTATAACTATCTTAATGCTAATGTTTTTTTTGTAGAAGAAACTCCTTTTTATTTACAAAAACAATTTTACAAAAATAACTCAAACTCTTGTGTCTTTTGTAAAAGGTATTATGATCCTTTTGAAAACTTTAAGAAGTAAGAACGACACAAATACGATTAAAGAACGGATTGTAAAGTTAAATTAGTTTACTTTTGATGATTGATAGAGATAATTTTTACCTAACTTATTTATGGTGATATATCAAAAATCACATTTTTTTTAGTTGCGTCAGTTTTGAAGTAAGAGAATTATATAAGATACCTTTTGTGCAAAGAGGAATGTTGCTATTATTCTTAATCTTTTTATATTCCTCATAATCCGTATACAATGTCCAATCTGCTTATAGTGATCCTAATTATACTTGTAGTTTGACGCATCACAGATCTTATGAATAAAATATAATTTAGATTTTTCGGCAGAAAAATCAATGAACAGCTAAAGAAGGTAATATATGTTACGTGTAATTTACTTAAATCATTCTTAAAAAGAATGATTCTTAGAAAGAATGACTTTGCTGAAAGATTTAAAATTTTGCTCGATAACAGATGCAAAAATAATGTTGTTGGAAACTCAAACTGATTACTAGAATATAAAAATGTTTTGCGGTATTGCTCCTCACTTTTTAGTTTCTAATATAATTATTTTGGTAGTCTAACAAAATTATTTTCCGTTTCAAAATTATTTACTATATTCAGCAAAATTTTAGATTCTTCAGCAAAATCATTTTGTCCGCGTAAGAGATATCTAATGCTTTCCAGACATTTCACTCGTTCCTTATTTCGTCAGATATGGTACATTCTGAACGAAAGGGTGTTCCGGTCATAAATACGATGTCGAAAATGTTTCGAAATACTGTGGTTTGCGCCACATAACAAATTCGATTGAAAGAGGTATCGATGCGGATTTCGCGCAGACCTTTTCGTTAGACAATAAAACACACTGCACGTAAATACGAAGAGAAAGCCAGGAGCACCAAAACGAAGAATACGTTATATAAATCCTAGCATGGCCGTCGCGAAATTGAATACAGCGTTATAAGAAGATGGAGTTCAAGGCAAAGATGAAGGAGAATTCTCCAAAATCAAATGAGAGAGAAAGGGAAAGATTGGCCAGCGTTGAGGGATTATAATTTGTAATAAAGAAACTGCCTTTGCTGTGGCAAGAATAAGACATTGTCGGAATGTTTCACGAGAATTAGCTGCAATTAAGACGATTTATCGACAGGCACGAGATTGCGCATGGACGACTGTGCGAAATAGCGAAGACGATAAATTTCCGAGTGCTACAACCTCCTGTGACAGCTCGCTTTGTCGCGCAGGTGATAGCTCGGGGTGCACCTTACTTTATGATTATTTCGTAATCCCGACGATGCACATCGCGGAAATAATGATTTAACGTTGTTACTTTGGATAATTGCCTTGGATTCGCGTTGTTCTGTTAACAAGGAATAGTCATAATTTTTTTTACGCAAACAATCACCTCGGATTTTTTTTCATCCCAATTAAAATCACTATTATTAACACAACATATTGTATTTGAAAGCATATGGGTTTAAAATCATAATTCTCTTAAAAAAGTAAATAGAAACCAAACAAATATTAAACGGAATATGCACGTTAAATAGCTTATTATAATAGTATTTTTAATAAATAAAGATTTTAATTAATACTGTATAATGTTTTTTAATTAAGAGTTTTCGAGAGAATTGCATATTTAAAGAATGTGAAATCATGAAAAATAATTATTAAAAACAAAAAAATATGTTAAACAATCCATCTAAAATGATATTTTATAATAATTGACATTTTTTCACTATAATATAAAAATACCTCCCCGAATGACTATTTCCGGGTTAAAGAAACTGCCGGCGTCGCACCGGCATTTACGAATAAAATTAAGATAATTTGCGAGATAAAGTCATACGTTGCATTGCATAAATTTACGTGCATTATCATATAACAATTATATAACATGATATAATATAATATGATATGATATAATATAATATAATATAATATAATAATAAACAATAATATATTGATTGATAAAATTGTCCATTTTTCCTTTAATTTCTATTTCTATGTTTTCTATTTCATTTGTGAACATTATTGGTCAATCGGTATTTCTTTTTTTTTTCATCGATTATTATGTTACCTACGTAATCTATTCAGCGGCACGTGGCACGTGAAATGGGGTTTTTCAAAATGCGCGGATTGAAAAAACAAAGGCGTGATATCGTGCGATATCACACATGCCGGCGGTCAATACCATCCGTTTCAATAAAATGCAGCGGTTAAATCTTCATCGAACAATTCAAATGTCAAATACAATTACGTTACATATTAGCCTAATTTCTCTTAGGCTATATTAATTGGAATCCAATGATAAACGCTGAATTCAAAATAAACACTATATTGCATATTAGTAAATTATAATGTTTTGATTTCCACTGACCTATTCGAAATAACAAATACGGATAAATACCTATTAATTTAATTTCTTCCCTTTGATTATAAACACAGACAAAACCAGCGGTCATTATTACTTGTAACAAGTAATATAAGTTTAATTTAGTAAATATTTTTACTTGCAGTAAAGAAATGTTTACTTAAAACTATTCAAGAAAAAAGTTACTTAGATTTAGAAAATTTTTTTTCAGTGTAATAATAATATATTTGCTTAAAAATGTAATATCATTTCCTTATATTTCAAAAGTACATAACTAAAAAAATATTATATGACTTTCAAGAGAGTTACTATGAGTTAAGTAAACATTATCCTATCAATCGCGTCAAACGTGAACTTAACTTCATAAAAAATCGTCAAAATCATTACAATTCAAAACAATAATTTTTTAAGAGTTGCGAAACAAAAGCGAGAAAAATGACTTTCATGTTAAGAATGTATATTTTTTTGCCAGTATTATTTGATTAGTGAATAATTTTCTGTCAAGTTAAAGAAAAATAGTTGTTTCGCCCTTTCTAGAAAATTTAATTTTTTGAGTGTCACTTTTGAAGTATAGGAACGATATAAGCTTTCCAAGTGTCGAATACAAACGGGGAAACATTGCAATCCGAAACTCTTTACTGTAGCCTAAGATGGATAATAGAACTGCCGCTCACCGTCAATGTCGATTTCCTGCAACATCGTTCTCAACTCCTCCGCTCTCGCAAATTGTCCCAAGGAACGCATAACCCTGCCGAGCTCTTCTTTCGTGATAGTTCCATCGCCGTCCTTGTCAAACAGCCTGAAGGCCTCCCTAAATTCTGTTGAGGAAAAGGAAAAGAAGAAACCATCGTGAGTAACTTTAATATAAATACGTTTCGTTTTCTCCACTGGAAATAACTAAAATTACTTTCTCGGTCTCTGAGAAAATTGTACAGTGTAAATTGTTTCGCCGTTTATTCTCATTTACGATGCAATTTTAAAGTAATTTTTTTTAATTTTCTACTTTTACGTAATTAGATTGGTTATACGCTTTGAATTTTTCCCTTTAGCCGAGTATTCTGACCTGTTATGGCACTAACGTCAAGCGTCCTCTCTGGAATTACCCTTTTAGAGATGGTCACCGACGGGGTCGGTTAACTGACTAAAGGTGTATGGTCGAATTCCCGGAGCGAATTTGACGAGATACGAATACAAGCCACTGCGGGTTCGGCTTAACAGTGCTTGACTCGATCGTTTAATGTCCTCGTTTCTCGAGCCGTTGATTCTGGCGGCGTATTCATGCACAGTTGCTCGTACGAGGAAACTACGATTTACGATGTAATCGACGTGATTGCATCTTACGCTTTTACAGTCTTTACGGTTGCTATGCGAATTTTACCTCAGATGCACATCGCGTGAAACGAAGTTATATATTATCTTGAATTGCGGACGCGATTTCAGTGATCGCATTTGGCGCAGAAATCAACAGAGGCCGGAGGATTCAGACGGGAAGTAGAGAACGATTCTTCTTCTTTATCTATGGACTTCCATCCTGCCAAGAATAGTATCACTCTCGTCATCTCTGCTTCTTTCGTCCCATTTCGGTCCCCGTAGAACTTTCGAAAAAAAGCTGCCACATAGAGTATTTTTCATAGAGTTATTGAATCAATTTTTTTTTAATTGACTACATAATAATTACTGTGATTTTTTTTCAAGAATTTTGACTGCATGAAAAAGAAACTTGGGACGAGAGATAAATTTTATCTGAGTTCCTAGCGACTGTAAATATCGCAATTATAGATATAATTTCATGAGAATCGAATATAGCCTTCATCTATTTATTGAACCGTATCACATTTCAAAATGAACAAGAATGCAAGCATTAGAACTGCATTACTGTAATGGACTTTAATATAATGTGGATTAAAATTTGACGTCGATCATGCTTCGATATTAGAGATTCAATTAATTACGTAATTTAAAATAATATTTTTGAAAAATATTAAAACAAATTACAAAAATAATTGTGGTACATAAAATAGGAAAATTTTTATTTTAGTTTGTAAAGATTAATGCACAGAAAGTAATCTTTGTATATAATTAATTTTTATATAATTCATTTTATGTATAAAATTTAGTGGTAGCAGTGGTTTGTATGTCCCTCTGTTTTTTTCTGTTCTTTATCAACGATTCTACTTGCTGTTAATTGGCAAAATAGACAATAATGTAGTAATACAATAGCTGCTTTAAAAGAAGTCCTTTTATATTCAAAGGCGATAAAAACGTAACGATTTTCCAGAAGAAATTATGTTCGTCGAAGTACATATTATCAAGTATACGAAGACACGTGACTTTCGTAAATATTTTCAACGAATACGAATATTTCTTAGAAGAAAAAACTCAATGGAAAGAAAACAAAGAATCAGTAAAGAAACGAATTTTCCAATAAACCAAGAAACGAGAGTTAATCTGTGCTAATTTAATGTAATTGTTTAATTTTATTCTTGTAAATTTTGAGATCGCGCTTTCAAAGAAGTTTCATAAAATATATTTAATGTGATGAAACTGAAGGATAATCGATCGCGGAGTATATAAAGTTACGCCGTTTATAACAAAGTTGAATACACAATCTTTGTTTATAGTTAGACGAGTTTCGTGGAAACTAAAATATAATTAAAATATACTTAAAGCGTAACTGATAATTGCCTGTCTCAAGCTGAATTAAAAATATTGATGAGCACCTTTTTTCATCGGTGCTATTCTGAAAAGAAGAACTTCATTCACAGAGCTCGCGACTATATAATGACATTGTATGTATAATAAAAATTACTAGGAGATTGGTTATTTCGTCGATAAATATGTCTGAATTAATGTCATTTCGCAGAAAACTCATGCCGCGAAATGGAAAAAAATATGAAATGGAAGAGAAAATTGTCTATTCGCATTTTCACGTTGGATTCTCTTAAAGAGAAATTGAAAGCATATTTATTCTTTGATTAATCGGTTTTTTAGATTGGTTTCGATGATCTGCCATAGAACATTTCCGTTTGGCTTAGCCAATTATTTTGGCGAAAATAATTAAATGTAAAAAAAATGGAAACGATGAGCACCACGAAATGTGAAACGATATTACAGGCATTACAATGCAATTTGTTTGACGTCGATTGAAGAGATCTCTATTCATCCAACCTGATGTGAGTGGAAATGTAATATTCAATAGCGATATTTATAAAACCAGAAAGAAAAACAAGTGCATGATGGACGACGCGTGCGAAAATAAAAAAAAACGTTCTCACTAAAAAAAAAAACGTTCGACGTCTGCATGACACCGTGTACGCAAAACGTGAAATTATTTATCTCGCGTGCGGATTTGATCGATCAATTGGCCTGATTTCCGATTCTCGAACGTGCATTTGTCGTGTACGACGGCGATAACAGCGGGGAAAAATAATTGCCGGTTACAAAACTGTGAATGAAGCTCACATACGCCGCGGTGCGGCGGAAGCGAGCATAGTTTTATCGGGATTAACGAAGCGATGACACCAAACAGGAGATATCCCGTTTACCGGGCGTGCCAAATTGAATCCGGCGCCGTGGGCATCTCCATCATCCGGCATCTGACGCCGCGATCAAAAGAGTACAAATTTACATTTCGGCATGTGAAGCCTGATGTCATAATATAATATAAAGTAATAAATACAGGAGAAAATAATTTTGCTCGCATGTTGTAAACGAAATTATTATCTTAATCATATTGTTTTAATTATTAATCTATTACGTTCATATTTCACTGAAATACCGTGGTTGCATGAATATTTGCCGAAAAATTCTACTAAAAAAATTTTAGAATTCATGCCTTTTGAGAAAAGATATTGGGAGATATCTTATAATAAGAATTTTTTATATTTAGCGTTATATTATTATACGTTTTATTTTAAGGAGTCTTTTAGGATTTTTGCACATCATGGAAAAAGACACTTTCAGTAAAATTACCATTAATTTTTCTGATAAATATTTATCTGATAAAATTATTTGTCAATATGTTTTTTGATTAGTTATAAGTGAATCCTAAAGGTTTGCACGTTCTTTAATTAAATGCCGGATGAATTTAGGAACTAAGTTGGATTAGTTAATTAACCAATGAGATTTATTAAGTACCTTTAGTCCTTAATTAACAGTAAGCATTTTACTGAAAGTATCTTTTTCCGTACACAAAGATCCTAAATATAATCCCTTTACAAGATAGAATAGATAATAGGATAGAATAAATTATCCCTGTAGATAGAATTAATTATGCGAGAAAAGTTACCTGTCTCGCTCAGAACGAATGAAGACTGTGATGGATAAGTCTGATATTTCACATGTCGCGCGACGAGTTTTTCCGGGGCGTGCCAATTGGCCATCAGATGGAGACTTTCTGGAGCCCCCGAAAAACTTGTTCTCTCAATAGGTCAATCGGCCAAAAAATTTGCCGTACGACGAATGAAATATTAGCTTAAAGCTCAGATGAGATTCGTGCCGCACAGTTTGAATCACGTTAGAGAAAGAGAGAAAGAGATAAGCTTCTGCGCTGAGAGAAAAGTGTTTCATATTTATGACTATATTTGCATAGTAAATGATTATGATTAAGCGCTCTATTTTTATAGTTATTATTATAGTTTATAGTTCTTATATTGCTATAATGTTAGTAATAATAATTATATTTCTAATTCTATATAAAAAAATATATAATT